TTATATCATCCTAAATCATTCCTCTCAATAACCTTCCCTCCCCCATCCTCACGAGAGAGAGAGAGAGAGAGAGAGAGAGAGAGAAGAGAGAGGAGAGAGAGAGAGAGAGAGAGAGAGAGAGAGAGAGAGAATCGGTGCCGATCAAAGGGGTCTGGAGGCTGGACCAGGAGCTGAGTGTCGACCTCCGCAAACACAAATCTGTGATTACACAAGACTGCGGTACATACACTGGATAAATATTTATTCACAGTGTAAGATAAAGCAGTTTTATCTGTAGCAGTTGTTCAAAGTAACTCAGAGACTCAAACTTGCCTTGTAAGACGCCAAGGAATCCCAAGAACTATCTGTTAAGTCTACTGAATACTGAAGCTAAACCATTTGTAGCTTCACCACTTCAGCGTATCTGCAAGCTAATTCAGTTGTAGCTTCAGCTCTCCCCCTCAACACTTGTTTTTGTTAAATTATATAAAAAGTCGAATTCCTGCCATTTTTCACATTAAAAAGTTATATGGGTGCGAATAGCGTAAAATAATTCTCGTGTTGGGTGTTTTGAGCCTTGGAGAGGTGGGTGTAAGAGCGGAAGTGGTGTGGTGTGGGCGTGGGCCGCCCACGTGCTCATGCAGGAGCAGGGCAAGTTTTTTTTTATTAGGGGGCGGTGGGGGTGAAGATTTAATTCATGTTGAAATGTCGTGGTGCCGTTGAAGTGTCGTGGTGTCGTTGTTGCCATGTCGTGGTGTTACGTGTGGGAGGGGAGAGTGTATGGAAATAAGGGTGTGGTGAGGGGAAAAGGCTATTCATATGTTGCAGATGTTTGGAGAGACAATATATGCTGCAGATGTGTTGATAGTGGATGTGGTGTCATGGGGTGGTCATCAGAGATGGATGTGCGTGGCTGGAGGTAATCAGCCACATCAGTAGTGCTAGCCTAAGTGGATTAAAATATTACACGATGGTGGGTGTGCTGAGACTTGTGGTGTGGCCACAGTTTGCCAGATCAGCCAGGCTAAGTGATGTGAAGAATGTACAAATTATTGATTGCTTTGGGAGTAGGAAGGCTCAGAATCGGTCACAGGTTACCTTAGGTCTCACTCATCACCTCTTCTGTTTTTGTGCTTGACAAGTGCTGCTTTGGCTTGAGTTGTTTGCTAGTCTCTTTCAAGTGTGTTGCGTTAAGTGAATCAGACAAGCTGGTGGTAAAGACTTAACTCATAAGTATGGCTTGTACACGACCCATCTCACCTGTGTTGTGACGGAGCATAATATTAAACAGGAAGCTTGTGGTGGTGGTGCTGGTGATGGGGTCTGAGCTCTCCTAGTTGTAGAACAGGAGGAGAATGAGGTAATCAGTCCCTCAACCTTGAGTCGATGTGTTCAGTCCATCACGGGATGACCTTCCGTTTCTTGCCCTCACAGCCTTCAGTATATTGGAATAATTTGATTTATAGCACTCTCTGTCTCATCATCCGAGTATCATGTACATCGTACTTGTGTCTCCCCCAGGTTTCTCCCCTCTTCCAGTGTTGTAAAGTCTAGTTCATTTTTATTGTTTCGTGTAGTTTCCAGAGATACTTGGGTAGTTTGTCCTGAGACCAGATTTCATACTATTTGATCTCTAGTTTATTCTTCTTTACAATTCTTATACCTTTGGTTGATCTTTGACTTCTAGAATTTTCAGGTGTGCTTTAGTTCTCTTATTGGAAAGTTTGTGTCTACCTGTTCAATGCCTCTCAGTATTTTAAAGTAAAAGGACACAAGTGCAACTAATGTGACATTTTATTGTGGCAACGTTTCGCTCTCCAGGAGCTTTATCAAGCCATTACAAACAATACATGGGCACAGAGGGTATATAAAGGCTCAGAGTGAGGTGCAATATTAGTGAGGTACCATATCGATGTTCACTAGTGGTAGTAGTAGTAGTAGTAGTAGTAGTAGTAGTGACAAAAATAATACAATATGGTAGAGCAATTAATTCGTACATGAGTAAAAGGATATAAAAGCTATTACTTGGGTAACATAAAAATAGGTTGGACAAATATAGACTGGAAAGAGGCAGGTAGTTTCAGTGTTCACTCTCTGTAATGTGCCTTGTGTAGTATAACAGGAGAGACTATGTGATGGCAGGGTTTACTGTTTTCAGGAGGATTCTTGCTAAGACTTCGGAGATGGTGAAGCTGCCGTTGTTTTGTTTAATTGTATTCGAAACAGCGATCAGTGCTGATTCGAGGCACTTGCGTCTGCGGAAATTAGTTTCTTTGATCACTAATTGGGCGTCTCTAAATTTCATGACATGATTGGTGGAATTTCGGTGTTGTACACAGGCGTTGTTCAAGTTATCGTTCCTATATGCGTAAATGTGTTCATTGAGGCGGGTGTCGAGGGTTCTTGCTGTTTCACCTACGTAGATCTTGTCACAGCCTCCACAGGGTATAGTGTAAACTTCTGCATTGACTGGTTCGTGGTGCAGGAGTTTACACTATACCCTGTGGAGGCTGTGACAAGATCTACGTAGGTAAAACAGCAAGAACCCTCGACACCCGCCTCAATGAACACATTTACGCATATAGGAACGATAACTTGAACAACGCCTGTGTACAACACCGAAATTCCACCAATCATCTCATGAAATTTAGAGACGTCCAATTAGTGATCAAAGAAACTAACTTCCGCAGACGCAAGTGCCTCGAATCAGCACTGATCGCTGTTTCGAATACAATTAAACAAAACAACGGCAGCTTCACCATCTCCGAAGTCTTAGCAAGAATCCTTCTGAAAACAGTAAACCCTGCCATCACATAGTCTCTTCTGTTATACTACACAAAGCACATTACAGAGAGTGAACACTGAAACTACCTGCCTCTTTCCAGTCTATATTTGTCCAACCTATTTTTATGTTACCCAAGTAATAGCTTTTATATCCTTTTACTCATGTACGAATTAATTGCTCTACCATATTGTATTATTTTTGTCTACTACTACTACTACTACTACTACTACTACTACTACTACTACTACTACTACTACTACTACTACTACTACTACTACTACTACTACTAACTAGTGAACATCGATATGGTACCTCACTAATATTGCACCTCTGAGCCTTTATATACCCTCTGTGTCCATGTATTGTTTGCAATGGCTTGATAAAGCTCCTGGAGAGCGAAACGTTGCCACAATAAAATGTCACATTAGTTGCACTTGTGTCCTTTTACTTTACATATTGTCGGTAATTCTACCAACTTTATTACTCTCAGTATTTTGTACATCGTGATCAGGTCTCCACTAAGCCTAACGTCTTCTAATGACGTGAAGTTCAAGTTAGGTTCAGTTAAGGTTTCTGGTGAATTTCCTCTAGCTCGTGTATGTGCTCGAGTGTTCGAGGGTTTACAACAGTTCTCTACATTCACCATCCTTTCATACGTTGTTGTGTTCTGGCTTCCAATACTTCAGCTACTTGCGGGAAATGAGCTGGAGTATGTATCCATTAGGCGTGTTACGGTCCTCTGGTCCATTACATAGATTTGACTACTGTGAAGCTGTATTTAGCCCAGCTTTAATATGCGGAAACCTGCGCTTTTGTACCTAACTTTTGGAAACTCACAGTATGAAAAGTTGGTGATAAAGCAGGCGATAACACATTGACGTAGGCAAAGATTTTGTAGGTATGTCTATATGTATGTATATACATGTATATTTATGTATTATGTATGTATATACATGTATATTTATGTATACATATATTTATGTATTATGTATGTATACATATATTTATGTATTATGTATGTATACATATATTTATGTATTATGTATGTATACATATATTTATGTATTATGTATGTATACATATATTTATGTATTATGTATGTATACATATATTTATGTATTATGTATGTATACATATATTTATGTATTATGTATATTTATATATTATGTATGTCTTGTCGCGCCTTAATGTTGAATGCAATTGTTTTGCAATAGAATGCTTTTAATATTTATGAATGCTAATCGTATTTAACATAATCACACTGGAGGTATGAGCACAGAGCTCGGGCAGAATATCAACACTTACAATACAGCTTTAAGATCCGATTATTGGCATGGTATCCATACACAATATTATCTCACTGTTGAAGCAAACCATCTCCATACCTGTAGTTACATTAATGTTAGTTTATTTTTTCTAGATTCATCAAGAACCCGCATCTAGGAGAAGAATCTTTGGTGAATTATTCTAGCCATGGCATTAACTTTATTCTCTACTAGAATACTTGTCGTTGACGGAGATTATACGTCCGATTCGTATAGAAGTATTTTGGTGTCACAAATGCTTGGTGTTTGTAAAACAGAAAAAGCTCCTCTAACGTTATAATGGGACTTGGGGTGATCTTCCCTGATGTGACTACTTCATTGAGCGAGTTTTGTGGATATCTGCCACCTAGAACCTGAGAATGTGAGAGAGAGTTGACGAAAGTGCATGGCAAGCACTAGACAAGTCTAGTCCAGGGCAGGGCTGCGGGAGTAGGGAAGCTCGTGAAACTCGTCAGATGTATTTCAAAGGTAAACGTATCCCATTTCTTCCCCACACTTTCTCCCATTTAAAATTTCAGTCGAACTCTCCTCGGCCGATCAAATTATTCCTGGCAAATACAGTATTATCCCTGACAACTGTAATGTTATCCAGTACAAATAGGATTTCACTCATGGTAGATATTCATCGAGTGTATTTACTAGAGAGATGAACTTTTTCTGGGGAATGCGATTGATTGAAAGTGAACAACAAAGAGGGTGGTGTGTACTACTGTGCTTTAGTCTTTGCTGAGTGGGACGGTAGTGTTCAAACTCCTTATTTTTTGGTGATCGTTGTTTCTTCCTTTTCACAGTTTTATACCATTCTTCTCCTTGTTATTAACATTATTTTATTACCGTTATTATTATTATTATTATTATTATTATTATTATTATTATTATTATTATTATTATTATTATTATTATTATTGCAGGACGGGTGCAGGCGCCGAGGTTTATTGGTCCTCAGGTGGCGACGGAGAGCGTAGTGAGCGAAGGACACACCAAGATCCTGCAGTGCCAAGCTTTAGGTGAGTGATCCTGCAGTGCCAAGCTCTAGCTGAGTGATCCTGCAGTGTCAGACCCTAGGTGAGTGATCCTGGGTACATTATTCACTCCCTGGCACTCGCCCTCATACTCTGCACGCTGCACACGTTAATCACTCTTAAGTGGTACTGAGTAACGACAAATTAATGAGTAAGACGCAGGTGCTTTTAGCCAGGGCACATAACAGTTGCTACTCACGAAAACGCAATAACACGACAGAAAACAAGCCACAAAAAGGGGGAGGCTCCAACAATTACCGTGGTTTTGTTATTTAAGGTGAATAGTCAAGGACTGGGCCTGGGCGGGGGGGGGGTGAATCCCCCTGAACCACCTCTAGGTAGTGTTAACCCCTCCTACCCTCTCATTCTGCAGTAATTTGGTGTTTATTGGTAAAAGTAACGCACATTGCGTTTTGGAGCTGAAGTTTGGCAGGACAAGGCAGGTTAGGTTAGGTAAGATTTTTCAGGAAACAGGCCAAGTGTTTCCAGACGCGGCTCTTAGTGATGTGATAACCCGCAGCTGAAGCTTTTGGTCATCTGACAGAGGCCTTCCGCTGGCTTACCGGTCCACGCCCTTAACAATTATGGACATGATTATAACCTTTCAGGACAGGGCACATGTGCACCACTTGGGTATCTGTATTGACGAAACGTTTCGCCTGCGTTACGGGCTTCATCGGTCGAATACAGCGGTGAATTGCAACTTTTCGCCAATGAAGATACCTAAGACGCCAGTCTTCAGTGCACGCTGCCCAATTTCTCACCAAACGTTTTACGTCAGTTTGTGTTTCTTCTCTCTCCTGAGTTTATCTTTCCTGGGAGTAAGCCGGTGACCGAGGTAGTGTGGTAGGCGTGTGACTGCCGGGATTGAATGTTCCAGTAACTCGGAGAAAATCCGTCTGAACATCACGAAAATAATAAGAGTTCATCTATGTTAAATAAGCTAGTTTAGGCAGCAGCTGTGTTAGGTTAAGATGAGCAAGGTTTGATAACCTTCATACACTGAATTTAGCTATAAAATAAATTTTCTTAGTTTACTCGTTTCTCTTTCTCTCTCTCTCTCTCTCTCTCTCTCTCTCTCTCTCTCTCTCTCTCTTATAATATATATATAATATATATATATATATATATATATATATATATATATATATATATATATATACATATATATATATATATATATATATATATATTATATATTATATATATATAATGTCGTGCCGAATATGTAAAACTGGTCAATTAGCAAGAACTCATTTAAAATTAAATCCTTTCTAAAAATGTCTCTTATACGTTTAAAGATATATTTTTTTCATTAATGTTAATGTAAAAAAATTTTAATTTTGCACCGAAAGAATCTTAGAAAACTTACCTAACCTTATTATAACAAGAACAATTTATTTTAGCCTAACCCAACTAAATATATTTTAGATTTGTTTACAATAATTTAATACTAAAAAAACACAGTAAAATATATTTTTTTCGTTAGGTTCAGAATGATTTTGGCGAAATTATTACATACACAAATTTTCGCTTGTCCTATATGGCAAGATAAGCGTTGCTATTTAAGCCAAGATCGCAAGTTCTGCCTATTCGGCACGACATATATATATATTATATATAATCTCATATACATGCATATACATATAAGATTATTTCTAGAGCAGTTGGATAGGGTAAAGGTTATACATAATATGTGGAAAATGTTTGTAAATGAACACAAACATTGTCCATACCGGAAGTTGGGCTGACCATTATATACACTCCGTTGACCAGAATTCCTCCCATGGTTACGCACCGATGGTTGACCTCAGTTTTACATCAACACACCAAGGTTCTTCTCACGTTTTTCCACTTCCTTCCCCCCCCCCTCCCTTCTACCTCCTCCACCCTTTCTTCCCACCACCTAGATTTTTTTTGTTTTGCCCCGAAGGGAGATATCAACGAATACAACATTGATCTTGTGACATATGGTATGACAATACTGACCAGTTGTAGATGTTAGGAACACCCCCACCAACTAGAAACTCTTGAATTAAGTCATAAGTCATGACTTTATTAAGACTACATCCTGCATGCACAGCAGCCTAATCAAGTCTGATTATATATTACATACATATCTACATTATATATATATATATATATATATATATATATATATATATATATATATATAATTGTGTGTGTGTGTTAGTTACCATTTTGTCCTAGGCACATGTCGATTAGACACTAGGTCTGTTTGTGTGTGTGTGTGTGTGTGTGTGTGTGTGTGTGTGCAGGCATCACTAGATCAATGATATAATACCAACAAGGTGAGGAACATGGCACACTTGCAACACCCGGGTATCTGTTAATAAAAATACCCAGGTGTTGCACATGTCATATTCATGTGATTAGATTCATGTTTGTGTTTATGCGAGTGTGAACGAGTGCACTCTCATGTTTGTGTTTATGCGAGTGTGAACGAGTGCACTCTCATGTTTGTGTTTATGCGAGTGTGAACGAGTGCACTCTCATGTTTGATTTTTACACTCCAGGAAATTACATTCTGTTATTATTTTCACATTTCTAATCATTTTACAATTTAACAAATCCTTATTGCTTGCCTCTGGCATTAATATATTTTTATTGCTGTTTGTGACGACATTAATATAAATTCATCTGAACAATAATTTTTAAGCGTGATTCAAGAGGATTTCAGAGTTTAATGTCACTATGACACTATGGCAGAATGTATGTCATTATGTGTGTGTGTGTGTGTGTGTGTGTGTGTGTGTGTGTGTGTGTGTGTGTGTGTGTGTGTGTGTGTGTGTGTGTGGTGCCGAATAGGTAAAACTTGTTATTTTGGCTTAAATAGCAATGCTCTTCTTGCCGAATAAGGCAAGCGAAAACTTGTGTATGCAATAATTTCGAAAATCATTCTGAACCTAACGAAAAAAAAATATTTCATTGTGTTTGTTTATTATTAAATTATTGTAAACTTATCTAAAATATATTTAGTTGGGTTAGGCTAAATTAAATTGCGCTTGTTATAATAAGGTTAGGTAAGTTTTCGAAGATTCTTTTGGTGCAAAATTATTATTTTTTACATTAATATAAATGAAAAAAAAAATATGTTTAAAGGTATGAGAATTTTTTTTAGGAAGGACTTAATTTTAAATGACTTCTTGCTAATTGACCAGTTTTTCTTCCTCGGCACGAGAGAGAGAGAGAGACAGACAGGCAGGCAGACAGACACAGTCGGACAATCAGACACACACACACACACACACACACACACACACACACACACACACACACACACAGGCTGAGGACAGAAGGTGGGGAACTCACAAGAAACGATCAGGAGGTATGTGAGGAGCTAAACAGGAGATTTAAGGAAGTTTTTACAATAGAGACAGGAAGGGCTCTGGGAAGACAGCACAGAGGGGAATATCAACAGGGAATATACCCTCAAGTGTTGAATGACATACGAACAACGGAGGAGGTGTAGAAGCTGCTAAGTGACCTGGTATTACAACCCAGGAGTCCAAATGGCCTGTTATCCTGGGTGTAAAGGGAGCAAAATAAACACAGCAGAAAACTTTTGACTTATATTATCCTTCACCAATTTAGAACAGAAGTATGTACACTATATACACTATGTACAGCAATAGGTATTAGTGCACTCCACGGTAAGCAAGGCAGGATAGAAGCCACTAGAGAGCAGACCGTGCTTCAACCAGCTCTAGAATGGGAATGACAAGGGCAGACAGGAGAGTAGTACCCACATAACCTCTGCGATTGCCAAAACCATCTTCTCATTGGCTGGAACCTGGGTACTGGTTAAACGACGGGGCTCCATCGTCAACCCTCAGTCACCTGGTTCGCTGGCTACGTACTCTTTGCATGCCACACCTTGACACCTCAAAGGCAATGGGACCGGGCATCTCTCTGTGGGTCCTTAGAGAAGGAGCAGAGATGCTGTGCATGCCTCTAACCACAATCTTCAATACATCCCTTGAAACTGGGCAACTACCCGAGATATGGAAGACGGCAAATGTAGTCCCTATTTTTAAGAAAGGAGACAGAAACGAGGCACTAAACTACAGACCAGTGTCTCTGACATGTATAGTATGCAAAATCATGGAGAAGATTATCAGGAGGAGAGTGGTGGAGCACCTGGAACAGAAGATTATAAATGTCAGCTAGCATGGATTCATGGAAGGCAAATCCTGTGTCACAAACCTTCTGGAGTTTTATGAGAGTAACAGAAGTAAGACACGAGAGAGAGGGGTGGGTGGATTGCATTTTCCTGGACTGCAGGAAGGCCTTCGACACAGTTCCTCACAAGAGATTAGTGCAGAAGTTGGAGGATCAGGCGAGTATAACAGGAAGGGCACTGCAATGAATCAGAATACATGACAGGGAGGCAACAACGAGTCATTGTACATGAAGAGGTATCACAGTGGGCGCCTGTGACGAGCGGGATCCCACAGGGGTCAGTTCTAAGACCAGTGCTATTTTTGATATATGTGAATGACATGATGGAAGGGATAGACTCTGAAGTGTCCCTATTCGCAGATGATGTGAAGTTGACGAGAAGAATTAAATCAGATGAGGATAAGGCAGGACTACAAAGAGACCTGGGCAGACTGGACACGTGGTCCAGAAACTGGCTTCTCGAATTCAACCCTGCCAAATGCAAAGTCATGAAGATTGGGGAAGGGCAAAGAAGACCGCAGACAAAGTATAGGTTAGGTGGACAAAGGCTGCAAACCTCACTCAAGGAGAAAGATCTTGAGGTGACCATAACACCGAGCACGTCTCCGGAGGCACACATCAACCAGATAGCTGCTGCAGCATATGGGCGCCTGGCAAACCTGAGAATAGCGTTCCAATACCTTAGTAAGGAATCGTTCAAGACACTGTACACTTTAGGCCCATACTGGAGTATGCAGCACCAGTTTGGAACCCACACCTGGTCAAGAAGTTAAAGTACAAAG